AATAACTTGAATTTATAAATTGAATTCATTTTTAAAATTATTTTCTAATGAACATCAAAAAACATCAGATAAGGCCCCTGTTATAGAATAGCTTGCACGTATGTTATTTAACTTGATTCTGACAATAGGCCACATTGTAGGTGAAACAAGTCTTAGATAGGTTTGGAAACTTAACCATGGCTTCAGAGCTGAAAAATGGCAGGGCCTGGATTCAAATCCAATCTCTCATTGGAAAACCTGGGGTTGTTTTTATCACTCATTGAGTTAGGGTTTAGGCTTTATCCCATTAGTCCAGGGGCTAGAGGTTGAAGTCCAGGACCCAGATTGTCTAAACTTAGAAAAGTTCACATTTGATATGCATTAGAATTTGCTAGATTTTAGTTAAAATTTCCAGTATGATTTGGAGAGAAAAGAATATTCTCATATAATGCATAAATTATAATATATTCAAAGGGACATAAAACTGCATTGTGAAATCTACAGCTTATTTTTATGTTTTCCCCCAAAAAAGTAGCAAATTCCCAGTGTTAATTTTACAAGAAAATGTGTATTCTTTCAGTCAGCTAACCAGTACTTATAAACATATTATAAACTATGAGGAGTACTACGTATATAAAGTTAATTTGAAAAATACAATTACATTTCCTAGGATGAAAGCATGAATCATCAATTTTATTTGTGAAACTCAGATGCCACCTATTGTTTAGAAAAATAAATACATCATCTTGGTTATAATTTTTTTTTTACTAACGATTTACCTGTCTGTTGAAATTTAAACATTTTTACATACAGAACAGAGCCTGGCTCTCCAACTGCATAGAATAGTTTGAGATTTCAAGGACATGAAAACATTAATGAAGGGCTCTGAAATTTAAGTCAGTACGGAAGAAGTAAAGTATCCTTCAGTATCCCTTCAGAGGGGTGTATTTTGCTCAGGTAATTCCTCCATTGAATTGCTTTTAGACCTGTGTGTCAAAAGTCAGGCATATTAGTGCCGATCTATTTCTGTGTTCTCTCCTCTCTTACATTGGTCTATATGTCTGTCCCTCCACCAGTGCCACACAGTCTTGATTACTGTAGCTATATAATAAGTCCTTAAATCAGGTAGAACAATTCTTCCCACTTCATTCTTTTTAAAATTGTTTCTGTTCTTTTAGTTCCTTTGCCTTTCCATACAGATTTAAGAATCATGTATATATCTACACATAATCTTGCTGAGATGTTGATAGGATTATATTGATCTGTGTCCACTTCAAAAGAATTGTCATCTTTACTATGTTGAGTCTTCTGATTTACAAACATATTACATCTCTTTATTTATTGAGATTTTATATATTTCTCTCATCAGCATTTAGTAGTTTTCAGTATAAGTTCTATACGTGTTCTGTTAAGTATTTCATTTATGCTCATTTTCAGATTATAGAAATATTATTGATTTTTGTATGTTTATCTTGTATTTTTCAACTTGACAAACCCACTTATTCTAGTAGGCTTTTTGGGCAGATTTCTTCAGATTTTATGTGTGTACAATCATATCATCTGCAAATAGTGACAATTTTACTTCTTCCTTGCCTTTATGACTTTTACTTCCTTTTCTTGCCTTTAATGCACTGGCTAGAAATTCTAACATTATGTTGAATAAGTAAAGCCATCTGAATCTAGAATTTTCTTTGTGATAAGGTATTTAGCTATATATCTTTGATAGATGTTTATTCATGTTACATGTCTTCCTAATGAGCTTTCAGACTACATCTTTTGAGGAATTTGTACATTAAATCTATGCAATTAAATTTATTAGTGTATAGTTGTTATTATTCCATTATAATCCATTTAATATCTACATGGTCTTTAATTATGATTCCTTACTAATTTCTGACATTTGTAATTTCCATCTTCTATTTTCTTGATCATTCTGTCTATAGGTTTGTTAATTCCAGTTCCACCAATTTTTGTTGCTATTTCATTGATTTCTGCTTTTCATTTGTTTTTTCTCTTAGTTTGTTAAAGTGGAGTCTTAAGTCATTCATTCAAGACAATTCTTTTATGATAAGCATTGATAGCTATAACTTTCTTATTAAGCGCTATTTTTGCTGTTCTGCTAAACCTGCCTCAGAAACATCTCACAAGTTTTGATAGCTTCTCATTTTTCTTTTAATTCAATATATTTTCTAATTTACCTTGTGATTTTTTTGACATGACTAATTAGAAGTATGCTGTTCAGTTTCCAAATATTGAGGAATTTTCCAGATATATTTATAGCAATTTCATTTCATTGTTATAATAGAACATACTTGTAATAATTCAGTATTTGTAAATCTGTGGAGATTTTCATTATAGTCTAGGTGAATTTTCCAGGTGCACTTGAAGAAAAATAGTATATTCTGCTATTGCCAGTGAAGTGTTCTATAAATGCCAATTATGTCAAATTGTGTATATAGAAACAGTTGTGTTTCTATATCCTTGCTGATGTTTTTTGTCTTTTTCTATAAATTACTGATAGAGTATTGAAGTTTGAAACTGTAATTGTAGATTTTTCTCTCTCCTTTTAGTTGTTATCAGTTTTACTTCATGCATTTTGACAGTCTGCTACTATATAACATACACATTTAGGGTTGGATGTCTTCTTCATTAAATGAACCCTATGTCATAACGCAATGTCCTTCTTTATCCCTGGTAATATTTCTTGTTCTGAATCTACCTCATTTAACATTGATTCAGGTAATGTAATTTTCTTTTGATTAGTGCTTACATAGCATATCATTTTATTTTATTTTTAATCCCTCTTTGTCTTTGTTTAAAGTGTCTTTGTCTTTGTTTTAAAATAATATAGAATTGGACCTTCCTTTTTTATCTAATATTGACATGCTTTACCTTTTAATAGATTGTTTAGATCATTTACATTTAATGAATTATTGATATGTTTGAATTTAAATATGCCATGTGTTACTTTTTTTCTATTTATCCCACATTTTTTGGCTTTTTTTCACTTTTCCTAACTTCCTCTGGAATAACTATATATATATATATTTTTAATGGTTTCATATCATCTCCACTATTGACTTATTGATCGTATCTATTTTTTAATTTTGTGGTTGCTCTTAAATACACACACACACACACATCAATCTATCTTCCATCAATATTATACCACTTCACATGTAGCATAAGAACTTCTAAGAGGTACTTCTATATCCTCTCTCTGGGTCTCAAGTCAAGATATCGACAAACTGTCTTATTTGGTGCTCAGGGGTCTCTTCCAAGCTCATACAGGTGCTGGAAGAATTCAGTGGTCTGTGTCTTCAAGACTAAAGTCTCCTTTTTCTTGCTGGCTCTTGGTTAGGTGATGCCCTCATCTCCTAGAGGCCATGCTCATGTACTTGCCTCATGACCCCCCTTCATCTTCAAAGCCAGCATAATTTCCCGCTTTTCAAAACTCTCTCATACTTACATCTCTGACTTCTATGTCTGGCCTCCAGATTTAGATTTAAAGGACTCATGATAGGGACTCATAAAGATTTAAGGATTTATTTCAATTTAAAGGACTCAGACCCAAACAGGATAATGTCCTTTGGGCCATTCGAAGCAACATAACCATAGGAATGATATCTCACCATATTCACAGGCTCCACCCATAGGCCAGGCATGGGTCACTGGGGGTCATGTTATAATTCTGCCTATCATACAAGGCATGGAGACTCATTAAGCTAAAACATAATTTCTTAAAGGAGGAAGATAGAGATTTTCAGCCTGTAACCTCTCCAGTTAACTAAAAAAATCTTCCTGGACTGTAAGATGTTTTTTATCTTAAACTGCCATGTCTAGAACTTGCCCAGCATATAATGAAAATTCAGTAAATATGTGTTGAATGGAACACCTGCCTTCTTTTTTGCAGCGAACAGGCTTCTAAAGTGTACATTGATTAACATTATTCTCCAACACTCTCAATTGCCTTCATTGCTCAAGGCAATCAGGTGTCCTCAATTCCACTTGTAGATCCTGGCTAGTTGAACACTCCAACAAAAGCCCCAGTGAAATAATAGTTCCAGTAAAAGCAGTACAACACCGCTAATTCCCTGCATTCTATAAGTATGAAAAACGCAAAAGGAGAAAGTCAGTCAACAAACATGCATGTGTAATCTAGGTCTACACATTAATCATAGTAATCAGGAAGTAAGATCCATGATTTCCTGGAATCTTGCAAATAAAACTAGAGAGGTGGTGATTCTAGACAGCTGACATACATTGCAAAATAAAACACCATTTCTATTCTCAGCTCACTTTTTAATACCATCTTTTTCATATGGACACATTTTTTATGCCCATTTCAGCTTTTTCTAGTTGCTTCTTTGCCTCGGCTCCTTCTATTTCTTCTTTGCTGTTTCTTCTTTCTGCCTAATCAGGTATCCCCCCATGTTTGGACTGATCCCCCACCCATCGTTTCTCTGGCCCTCTCCCCTTCTTTATCTTTTGCTAGACTCGTTGTTCTCCTCATTACTAGTCTATCTACAGATTACTCCTCTCTCCAACGAGTACTGGCTCTTCTTTACAATCGTTGCTTACTTTTATATAAATTAGGTTTTCATCCTCAGTTCCTGAATATGAAGTGTTTAATAAGAACAGTATATTTTATCTATAATAAGAATAGATATCTCTAGTATCAGCCTTTAAAAGAAAGATTAAGTATTTTTTTCTATGTAATATGGCTGATACACACTAATGGAAAAAACACAATGCCTTAGAGTATCTCTGATCAGTTTCCACTTCAGTATGTATATCCACTTCAGTATGTATATATCTTTTACAAAGATATATAGGATATACATACCGAGCATTACTTAGATTGTCCACTAGATGGCAAACAATTACACAGAGAGACTGGGGATAGAAAAAGATTTTATGGAATTACAGATTTTGTTATAAATGCAAATTTTTTTTCTTTCAACAAATGAAGCCAGTACCCAAGGTTGAAGTTTGAGGACTTCAGTCGTAAAGAAGGGTATTCCTCTAGACTGTCCACATGAGTGGGAAAAGTAGTCTTTATATGACTACCTAGAGGAAGTTTTAATATAATTCACCTAAAGTTAGATATGTGTTTTATAGTTCCTTTCTGTTGCTAAAATCCTTAAAGGAAAAATGAATGTGATCTATTTTAGATATTAACAATTTGACCAATTACCAAACAATCTGACAGCCTTTTAAGATATTAAGTACTCAGGAGAATTCACAGCAATGAGCTAGCAATTAAACTCAAGTCAAATACTGTTGCACTATGCCTGAACTACTGTTTTAGATACTCGTTTTCTACAAATGGGTAATCAACACAAGTTCATTTATGAAATATATGAAGTTCTTTCTCTACCCTATCTAGTTTTTTATTAGATAAAAATTCCATGTCAAAATTCCACCCAGTCTCAGGATCTGATTCAAATCCCTACTTTGCTACCAAGATTAACCTTAGTCACGGTTCCACCAAGATCTCTCTCCTCCGATTTTTGGGTGCTTTCCTTGTGCCTCTATAATGAATTATACTTTTATTATGCTGCATGAGTTTTGATTGGAACACCCAGAGAACCTCTACTTATCCTTCAAGGCCAGCAGAAAGTTCTCCTTTATTTGAAGTCACCTCTGATCCCCCTAACCTACTGTTATAGGTTAATAAGGTGGCTTATTAAGTTCCTCTTTTTATGCTGATGATAAATGTAGGGTGCACATGGTCTGACCTGCATTAACTTACATGGTTAAAAAAGATTGGGGAGGGGACTAAACATCTGTGAGCTCATGGAGGGCTGAGGATATAATTTATCTTTTTCATCTTTGCCCCCCAGTATATAATATAGAAATTAGATCAGAGTTCCTAAGCCTGAGCACTGTTGACATTTGGGGCCAGATAAGTACTTGCAGGAGGCTGTCCTGTACATTGTGGGCTACTTAGCAGTTTTCTTAACAATCAAAAGTCTGTCCAGACATTGCCAGGTATTCTCTGGGAGACAAAATAGCCCCAGTCAAGAACCATTGATCTAAACCATAGTTGAAATTAAATGTGTGTTGACTTGATGTGAGGAATTGTCAGGTTTTCTTTCCCATGTTAGCTCTTTTACATACCTAGCATTAAAAGGGACTTCAACAAATTAAATGAATGAGTGGTTAAAATACCTTTCCTTGAGCCTTTAAAAATAGAGTTTACAAGGAATGATATATATTCATCTATTCATTAGAGAGATGGGGTGGTATGTTGGTTAATGAGATAAATGCTGGAGTTAGACTAGGTAGGTTTAAATCTAGATTGCATATGTTTCTATCCCAGCTCTCAGCTTCTTATCTCCATAACCTTGAGCAAGTCATTAAACATTGCTGCACCTTGATATCCTCATCATAAATGAATGATAAGGATGTGAATAGTACTTAGTTCAACAAGACTTTATGAAGATAACATGAGTTAAGTTATTCAAAGCACTTGGAACCATGCCTGACAAGTGTCGATTATTATTATGCTTTTGGCAAATTGAATACCTACTATACTCTAGACATTTTGCCATTGATACGGGGATTTAACTATGAATAAAAAGTTCAAACTCTCATGGATCTTGCAATCCAAAAGGCAAGGGTGACAATAATAGATAATAAAGCAGGGTAACTAACAGAATGGCAGGCCAGCCAGAGGAGGCTACACCCAAGTCCCATGTGAGGCACGGAAGCTATCTCAGGAGACAGTTAAAGGAAGAGTCAGGCTTCCAGGGAACAGTCCTGAGGCCAGGCCATGCTGGATGTGTTTAAGGCATGGCAAGGAGCACAGTGAAACTACGTACTATGTAATTGTGGTGTTTTTTGTTTTATTTTTAAAAAGCAAAATTGTAAATTCCCTTTCAGGAAAAAAAAACTAAGTGAATTTCAAAAGGCTACAGACAGAAACATGCTAGAAACTTAACAAATGTTTTTTTGGTGTGATGAACTATGGCTGATGCATTTTCTTTTTTCTTTTCCATAATACCAAAATCTTATGAATATGTATTACTGTAATATTTCAAAACAAAAACAAAAACAAAAAGACTTTATCAATGCAAGCACTTGTAACTAAAATGGAGTTTCCATTTATACAGGATTATATTTTTCCTCTGTTTTGTAGCTGAAGTGTTAATATTTTTACTTTAAATGTTCTAATACATGCCTAACAAAATTATGTTGCAAAGTTTACTATTAATCAGATTGCACTCAATATTTTGGCTAAAAAGTTTTTTTCTGCCTATAAACTGAACACAGTTTAATCTTCTCAATTGATGGTTCGTAACACAGATATTTGTCTTTTGAAATTTCTTCACATCTTCTAAGGTGAAAGCTGTTCTCCATGTAACAAACTTCTCTTCAAATGAATACGCAGAGAAATACTGTGATAGTTCATTTACTGCTCTTTCAAAATAGGCTTCTAAATCAAGATGGCAGCAAAAAATTGGTAGAAATGAGATTACACATCTAGAAAACAAGTGATATTTGATATGTTTTAATTTATGTTCACATATTTTTACTAAGTATATTTCTTAAATGCTATGCCTCAACTCTAACATAATTATATTTAGCATTGATACTTCTGCATTTTATAGTCATTAAAAATGTATAATTGTGACCATTGTATAACCATTGTGACCAACCTGTTGCCATCAGATTCCTTTCTCCTCTCTTTTTTCTTTTTTAAGTTTTTAGACAATAAGTGAAGGATTGGGAAGGAAAGTGGCTACTGGTGCATACAAAGAATAATTGTACATATTTTTATTTTGCACAACAACAAAAAAACCTGCCAAAGTAAGATAGTCACCAAAAAAGGTGTATTGCTGTTTTATAAACCTAAATAACTGTATATATTTTTGAAAATAAGCACCAAACATTATTTTAATAAATAACTGCTATATTCAATTCTTCATAACTACTTAATTTGAAGTTTTAGATAAAGAAAAGCTATATGTTATATTAACTATTATCAAATGTACTTATCTGAAGCATTCACATTTGCCCCTTTCTTCAGAAGAAATTCTACCATTTCTGCATTATTTTCAGTAATGGCAAGTAACAGTGGAGTATACCCATCCTGAAAAAATAATTTCAAAATGATTATTTAAAATATTGTACCAACCATTACATGCCTTTTAGGTTCAAATTCAATTAAAAGATAAGTGTGCTGATAAGAAACCTCTGAATATACACTTATCATTTTTAAGAGATTTTTGATATGTAGCAAGATAAGATTTCAAAGACCAAGAAAATAAATTGGAATTAAGCCAGCCAAAATATAAAATTAAAATTTCTACTTTAATTGAAATTGTGGACAAGAACTTAATTCAAACTATGGACAAGAGCAGTCTGGAGTATTTAAGTGATGAGCACCTAGCATTTAATGGAAGTATTGGAAACCATCAGTTCACATTTCATAGTGTTGTTACAATTGGGTTTCCATAGGGTTTCATTTACATCTCTAAGGCTGGCACTTATTTTGGGCTGTATGTAGGTAAAATATTAGTGAACTAAAGTGTTAAGAAACTTAAAAAAATACCTATCAGTTATCCAAAATGTCTCAACAGAAAAGTAGAATTACTTCTAGTAAAATAAGTGATTTTCTAATTAAACCCTATTATCATTATTCATGAGCATATAAATAAAAATAGAAAAAAATGGAGGCTTTATGATTTTTAATCAATATCCATATATAGGATATCCACATATAGGATATATATCAATATCTTTCATTTGATGTAAGCCTTTGAACAGTTATATTGTAAAATATGATATTGCTTTGGAGGTCAGGATTATTATCAAAAATGAAATGGAGACTTTTTAAAAAGGAAAACCTCACCTGCATTTAGTGATCTCATTCTCCTCTTCAATTTTCAATTTCATTTTGAAAAATTCATGCTTTATATAACATCTGTTTCAACGGATATGAATTACCTTCAATGAACAACTTCTTCCATTGCTTTCTAAAATGCAGTTTTATTTTTAATAGAGCACTACCTTATTTTGAGCTTCCAGATTAGCATTGTGCTGAAGCAGTTTTTCAACTAATGAGACACTTTGACCACAGACAGCATAATGAAGGGCCATCTAAATCCACCAGATTTGGGTCTACACCATGGTCTAGAAGAATAGCAGCACAATTCTCCTTTTCACACAATACTGCCTGTCAATACAACCAAAATAGTTGAGTAACCAATTGACAACAAATGTTTAATACTATGTTTTAAAATATGAAATCCAAAAAAAGTTAACTAGGAGAAGAACTCGAACATATAAGCGTGGAAAAGAAAAAATCAACACACCTTAGTCAATGGAGATCTGTTTTCACCATCCCAGACATTTAATTTGCATTGTTTCTCTATTAAGAAAGATACAATATTTGAATATCGTTAGCATAAGCCACATGCAAGGGTGTTCTGTATCAATATAATGAAACACAAAGCTAGAGATAAATCTTAGTTTGAAAGTAACTTAGTTACTTATAAACCCAAGAACATGCCAGACAATTTTTAAGATATTTGCTTCATGTACTTATTTATATTTAAACAAAACTTACAGTAATTAAATTACTTTTTACTGAATTTGAAAAGGTGTGAAAATACCTTGAAGATAATATAACTTAACTGATTTCACTTCAAGGAAAATTTAACTAGAAATGAGTTTAAAAATAAGTTTTTTCAAATGCCAAACTGGTATCAGCCTTGGAAAGAACGATAAAATTAGACAGACAATAGAATGTAGAAATGATCTCCAAAACCTGAAATATATGCGACAGTTAACAGGAGGAAGGGACATTGCCTACATTTGAATCTCCTATTCCATGGCTTGCCACCCCTGTTTGTGTATTTCTTTCTTTGCCCAGGTATTAATTGCATCTAAGAAACAAACACAAACGTGACAACCTCGGGACTCTCTAAGTTGCAGCTATCAACCTAACTTTGTTATCAAAATAACTTGTATTAAAAGAGCCTTATTTTATGTAACCTCCAGAAACCAAGTACAAATTCATGAAGTATGACAGGTACTAATTAGCTTCATATCAACTTTGAGTTTTTAGCCTGAACTAGCCCTCAAGAAACTTTTTTTTTTAATCTATTAAGGAGATATTATTATGCCCTTGTTTTTAGGTAATTTTATAATACAGAGTCTATATATAGATAGCCAGGTCCCAAATAAGAGACTTTAGACACCACTTCCCTACTTCAGTTTAGGTCCTCAGAAGCATTTTATGGCTGTCTAAACAGACATGTTATTGACACTAAGAGTAACAAAATGGTGGCCCACAAGGACTTGAAAATAAAGTAATTTTCAAAGAAGTAGACTAAAAAAATCCATACACAATGCTATAACTTGTCACTTATGAGAGTAAATCAAGAAAATATAAAAATAGTTTTGAACAATTTGGAAATACTAAAGTTCCAATTAAGTTTACCTGAAGTAATCTGTAGAAAGCAAGAGTATAATATAACTACAATATGAAAAGCAGAAACCTAACCAATTATATTATTCTCTGTCCAAAGAAAGACTGATCAGAAAGAGAATAGTCAGCTTGGATGATAGAATGGAACCAGAAGTAATCCATGATTAATTAACATCCTCCATAGGAAAAAAAAATCTGAATTTAAGGAACCTTTATTTCAATCACTGAAAAGGAATACTTTGTTGCAACATAAAAATGATCATCAGACATCATAGTCTAGATATCCCTCAAAATTATCTCCTTTACTGTATTGTGGTTCCATTCAAACTTCTGCTGACGAATTTGACTTCTTAGAAATCCCAATACAGGAAAATCCAGTCTTTTTGTTAACACCCACACTTAAGGATAAACTTCCTTGTATAATAGAAGTTTCTCAGTCCTCATCCCAAAATACACAGGGCCAAATAGCTTTAAGTCCACCTAAAGCAACTCCTTGCAGTAGCATAGCAAATTCTAGCAAACTTTTTGACCCATCTCCTTGATCACTACTAGTACACCCGTCTCGTGAATTTAGTCCTTAAGACTTTAGGAGCCTTTTATTCAACCTTTAGATCCAACTCTTCATCTAACTCCAGTTTTCTTTTTTCATTAAAAGACAAAATACAAAACAAAACAAACAAATCTGCTTTCTCTGAGAGAAAGTAAATGGCATTTGGGTAATTCCCAGCAGGTTTTCCAAAAGTGGCTGCTGCATACCTTTTTGATAATTTTGCTCTTCCAGTTAGAAGTCTAAACCCCACTGTTATAATTAAACCTGTTATAAAAACCTCAGAGCCCATCTATTTGCTCCAAGGAACATAGGAAATAGCTACAAATTTGATAAAGTAAAATCGCTATGAAAGCTTCTGCTTTCTAAGGAAGTACTGAGCAATAAAGCCCTGTGTCTTCTACACAAAATCTGAAAACGAGACTAACCTACCTTGGGTGGGCATGAAACACTGCACAGCTTACAATGTCACTTAAACTTTCAAGACAGTCTTATAAAGATTTTTACTTGGAATATTTGCCATCCTTTTAAATGAGCCACCCCAGTCTAAAAAGACAAAATGTCTTAAGAACATATGAATTTAACATTTGCCTTCATTTCAAGTCTTAGATTGAACTGTTCTTAAATTTCAGAACTCATAATTGGAGTATGCAGCAGATAATGTCTTTATTATGGCCATTTACCAAATGTTTACATATACAAAGTAAATGCCTCAAGGGCAATAGAAATTTTTTTCACCTAATGCCAAAATCAAAAACCATTCTGTTTTTTGAAACAGTTGAGTGCAAAATGTGTGTTTACAAATACCTTGGAGAAATACTTTAAAACCAAGAATATTTCTCCATTTCTAAAACATCCTTAACTTTTATCAACATATTATGTTCCCAATCTGTTAGTTTATATTGTTACGTAACTCATAGTACTTATTTTGCAGGACATCTAAACCCTTGTGAAGCCTAGAGCTGGTTCTTGGGCTTCAGGTTAGCTGGTATCATTTTGTTTCATTCGAGTCCTTTGCTCTCTCCCAGCCTGTCCCCTCTCTCATATACTGTGGAAGAATTGTTAGCATAGATTGTGGGCAGGTGCAGAATTGTCAGGTCCTAGAAATCTCTAATTGAACTTTAGTAAAAGTCATGACTTGGATGGATGTCAAGAGTGGATCATTACCATGGAAGATGACATGGAAACTGTCATCTGTGAGACAGGGTGCAAGACCAGCCTTCCGTTAGGTCATTAGCTGCAGTCTTCAATTAGGTCTCATCATGAAAACACCCTTTTTATTAACTGACTTTGTTGGGCTCTTTGTAACTTAAAATTCAGCCTAAGTGAAGAAGTAACCATGGAAGCTACCTCACACTAGATCATTAAATTATTTTCAACTCTAAGCTGGACACTTTAGCTCTAATCTAGGTGTGAGTAGTGTGGCTAGAAGTATTAGCTGAAAACTGAGCCTTCATCTATAGGTAGATAAAGATCTGAGGGAATTTTTATTGAAAGCCATAAAAGTAATTTAATTTTATAGCTGAAAGAGATATTAAGCATCTATTCTATTCATTTTCAAACTTCTTAGGTACAATATTCTTGAAATAAAAAGTAAATGGAAACCAATAAGTAAGCACATTATCAGGGAGCTGCTCTGGTCTAATAAGAAGTAGGCTGTAGCCGGGCTTTAGAGATCTTGGTTTGAAAAACACTAATTTAGTAAAATAGCTCTGATTTGACAGATAAAGAGAGTTACTGTCAAGGTCATACAAATGCAAAGCATGCCTCAACTTGAGATCTTTATTCCCAAAACAATATTTCTTCCTACTGGGCCACTATAGCCTCCAAAATAATCTGCTCACTATCTGTTACAGTATTTGCCCCACTCCCTCCTAATCAGATATTTCCACTTCTAGTATCATAATTTTTACTAGAAACCTACTTAGAATACTATTTCCATAAGGCCATTATTAATTGTACATATACTTAGTATCAGAGACCTTTAGCACAATGCTTCTGAAGTGAGTTTGTGGAACGTTCTATAAACATTACAATTCACCCTTCAGAAGTCTCCAGGGACCACCCTCTACCTACTTTCCCCTGCCCAAAACTCATCTCTTCCTCAGAAATAGTGATTCTGAGTTTAGAATGTATCCTTTCAGATTTTCTCTCTCTCTCGTTCTCAATCTCTCTTTCTACCTACACACACACTCAAATAGAATATACAGTTTGAGATTTTTTTTCACTTCTATTGTATAATTTATATACAAACATTAAGGGTAAAATTTTATGAGTTTTGACCAATATACAGTTAATCACCACCACAATCATGATAAAGAACATTTCCTTCACTCTGAAGTTCCCTTGTTCCCCTTTACAATCAATCTCCTTCTCCCTCTCCCCATCTGAACCCTGTGGTAGCCATTAATTTGCTGTCTGTGGCTATACTTTTTCCTTTTCTAGAATTTCACATAAATGGGGTTACTTAATATATAGTCTTTCGTATCTGACTTCTTTCACTTAGCATGATTTTTGAGGTTCACACTGTTATTGCATGTATCAGTAATTTGATTCCTTTTATTAATAAAAGATATCCTTTTATTGCTGCATAGTATCTTCACATCACTATGTATGTATGTACTCATTAATCAAAAATATTTATTGTGCACTTACTATGACTGCACAGGTTCTAGGTGCTGAGAATGCCACAGCAGCAAACAAAACAGACAAAAATACCTGCTCTTATGGATCATGCTAGCAGAAGAGGTACACAAAAAACTTAAATACAAAGTATGGCAGACAGTATTAAATGCTAAAGAGAAAAATCAGGCAGGGAAGAATAGAGAATGCCAGTGAGGAGAGGGGTTACAGCTGTGGGTAGAGTAGCCAGGGAAGCCTCACTTCAGCTAACAAATAAACACCTAAAGGAAGTGAGAGAGCAAGTCATGTGTGTACCTGGGGGGAGAGCACTCCACGCAGGGAGACCAGCAAGTCCAGAGGCCCTAAATACATTTCTGGCACTGCCATGAAGCACTAAGATGGCCAGCATAGCTGTTGAGTGAAATGGAGAGTCGTAGGAGGTAAGATGAGAGAGAGAACAGGGATGGGGTGAAGGTCATGTTGGGCGGCATGAGCCACTGGGAGGACTGGATTCTAACCCTCATGAGATGGAAAGCCAGTAGAAGTTGTTCAGGCAAGGAACGGCATCATTTTTTTTTTTGAGAGGGCATCTCTCATATTTATTGATCAAATGGTTGTTAACAACAATAAAATTCTGTATAGGGGACTCAATGTACAATCATTAATCAACCCCAAGCCTATTTCTCAACAGTCTCCAATCTTCTGAAGCATAA